GCTCAAGGAGTATGATTGTTTTATCTATGAAAGTTTGGAAAGTTATGCTTTAAACGTTCGTGAAGAGTTAAAATGATTATTACTCATATATACGAGGTTATGAATTCTGAAATGTTTCTATATCTGAGTTTATGATTCAGATAAATTTGAATATATAATATTTGGGGAGAGGCGCATGGGCAGATTTTTCTTCATTAATTACATATATGAAGCTATAACACTTGACCTTCAGTTGCACATGTGCAGAAATTTTTAGAATTTTGATGCATTTGCGTAAGTCATGAAATGGATAAGTACTTGTTATTTTGGAGCATGCCTAAGTGTATTAATGTGTGGGAAAGCTCTTGTATGATGCGCATAGCATCTTCTTTCAGGTGCCTTATATTTCCTTTTCTTTTTTAACTCTGTTTTGTTTTTCAAATGGGAAGCAAGGAATGATGTATTTACATGCATACCACAGAATTCCTATGTCTCTACATGACCTACACCCACACTTGAGATTACATACAGGCCACCCAATTCTGATGTCGTTACGTGCCTAATTTTGAAATTTTGTTGAATTCTGAGATATGCATGTGGGGTGGGTGAGGAAGTTATGATGGAGGAGAAATAATATGTTCAATACATGTTAATCGTTCTGTTGGGAGATTGGTTGAAGTTCAGATGTGGAGCAAATGAAGCAGCATATAAGGATTAATCATTTAATTTGTTGATTTATTATCCTAGACACATGAGCTATTATGGTGCAGAGAATGAACTAAATTTCATGAGTGTGATTTCTATGAAGTGTCAATTGTGATAGTGCTTAAGAAAACTTCATAGCTACATCAACTTTTGTTTTAAGGGTATACCAGATGTGTTGGGATGAATCACTTCGCTCGCTTATATGAAGCGTTAACTTTAGGTATTGGTGTATCGTTTCATAACCATTTTCAACTGGTTTAAATTTAAGTGGCATTTACATACATTATACATACCACCAAATTCAGATGTCCTTGCATTTCTAAAACTTAAACTTTACTTTTTTACATATATACCACTGAAATTCATCATTACTTTATAAGTTGAAATGCATCTTTCCATGCCTAAGTAAAGTGATAAATGTAAAATATTGAAGCTTATGTGTTAGATGTGTGGATACATTTGAATGGAGTGGAATGTTTCATTGGCATTATTTTGCTATATCAAAATTTGCTTACAAATTATATGAAGTCATTTACATTACACGTTTTAAGTGCAAAATGAAAAGCATCCTTGCATCTAGAATGAGAAGATATGTTTACTGATATGAAATGATGCATATATTGAAGTAAAAGTTTGTGGCATTCTTCTGCTGTTGAAATTAGGGTATATTCGTTCTGTTCTTATTGTTTCAAAACTTGCTTCTAGAAAGCTCAAGGAATATGATTGTTTTATCTATGAAAGTTTGGAAAGTTATGCTTTAAACGTTCGTGAAGAGCTAAAATGATTATTACTCATATATACGAGGTTATGAATTCTGAAATGTTTCTATATCTGAGTTTATGATTCAGATAAATTTGAATATATAATATTTGGGGAGAGGCGCATGGGCAGATTTTTCTTCATTAATTACATATATGAAGCTATAACACTTGACCTTCAGTTGCACATGTGCAGAAATTTTTAGAATTTTGATGTATTTGCATAAGGAAGGCCTGAAATGGATAAGTACCTGTTATTTTGGAGCATGCCTAAGTGTATAAATGTGTGGGAAAGCTCTTGTATGATGCGCATAGCATCTTCTTTCAGGTGCCTTATATTTCCTTTTTTTTTTTAACTATCTGTTTTTCACATAGCATCTTCTTTCTGGTGCCTTATATTTTTTTTTCTTTTTATACTATCTGTTTTGTTTTTCAAATGGAAAGCAAGGAATGATGTATTTACATGCGTACCACATAATTCCTATGTCTCTACATGACCTACGCCCACACTTGAAATTACATACAGGCCACCAAATTCTGATGTAGTTACGTTCTTAATTCTTAAATTTTGTTGAATTCTATAGCTTTCAGTCACTTGAATATATGTCTCCCCCGTCCATAGCTTTCAGTCACTTGAATGGCAAGGTGGCCATCGTGATCGGTGCCTCCGAGGCCATGGGCCGTGCCACTGCCCTCTACCTAGCCTCCCTAGGAGCCTTCATCTCTATAGACTTCTCTTCCGAGTCCAGCTCGCTAGAAGCCGATGGTCTCGCTACAGAAATAAATTCTTCTTCCTTCTCCTCAGCTTCCATCCCCCGCGCCATCACCATCCGCGCTGATATCTCCGATCCTGATGCTGTCCGAGCAATATTCGATCTAACGGAACAAACCTTCAAATCCCGCGCATACATTGTGTTCCACTCCGCCGGCATCATCGATCCCAACTACTACTCCGTCTCCTCCACCCCTCTCGCTGTATTCGACTCAATCTCAATCAATCAATCAATCTACGCAAGTCCTTCTTGATGCTACAAGAAGCCGCCAATCGAGTGGTATTGAGTGGCGACGGAAGGATCATTCTGCTCCACTCGTGGCTGGTGGAGAAACAGCCGGACATAACCCAGCCGGACAATTGGCTTTACGCAGCTTCAATGAACCCGATACAGGCCATGATAAGGCTCTAGCCTCAGAACTTCAAGAGAAGAGAATCAGGGTAAACTGTATTTCAACCGGGCCAGAGAAGACGGACTGTATTGGGCCTTTCGTAACATATCTTTCTTCTGCTATGGGCCAATGGATTAACGGACAAATTATTCAACTATAACATAAATATGGGAATATCATTGATGAGTTTCTTTCTTTTTTGGTCTCTTTTTGCAGTACAACTAAGAAAAGAGCATTTTAGAAATTTTGCAGCTAAGAGTCTCAGAATAAACTAAAATTTAGATAATTGTGCATCCACGATGAAAGAAGGATGCATAAAGAATTCAAACATTAAGAATGGAGAAAGAGAGGTGGAACTAAATAAAATGTTAGTACGTGATACATTATTGTTATTACAAAGAACACATTAGGGGAAAACCGTGATACTTGCACTGAGTAATGTGTCCCTTTTTTAAGACTCATAATCATAATTTTTCAAACAAAAAACGTGAATCAAAGTGAAGGCCTTCTAAACCAAATTAATTTGTGCCAAACGGGAGACCTGATCGCGAGGTGTCCTGATCAGGGTGATGATGCTTGTTCCATTACTTCCTGCAGCTTCCAATGCTTTAATAAGTTTCTTGATCTTCCATATCTCAATGTTCCTATCGTTCTCATGAGCATCAACCATTTTGCAAGCTGTGAGAGATGAATCTGCACAGAAAGATGGCCAGATAATACAAACAAACATAAGAGACATCAAATAAAGGTTTGAAAAGAAATTAACTGTGCTAAAGTACAAGACTAGATAGCGGATAAAATGAAGTAGCTAGCTCTCATCTATATGCTTAAGCTTTTATATATAATGGGGCCAATTTGCCTAATTTTGATTCAATCTCTTAGATAGCATGGGGCCATTTTACAGGCTTAACCCTTTTAGGGCATGCTACATAAATCTTTAGCAGTTAAATTTAAAGGTTGGAACTGGCAAGTGTTTGGAAACTTGCATACTATAGTGCAGTTGGCCGTGGATAAAATGAAGAAACTTGATGAGGATTACACTAATGTATTGATTGATCATTGCTCTTTGTTGAAATGTCAATAGGTGCTAACTAACGCTATTTCTATGGAGGAGGCTTTTTACAAACAGAAAGCTGTTGGACTTCAAATGGTAGATGGTGATAAAAATACTTCTTACTATCATGCTTTCATAAAAAAAAAAAAAGAGAACTAATAATACAATTAGCGGGATCAGGCAGAGTAATGGTAAAATTTTACATTCTATTGAGTTTAATTAATTAGATGGCGTTGATTATTGTACCAATCTACTTAAATGTGATGGTAGAGTTCTGGGAAAGATTGAGAGAATATTGAGCTTTTTGCTATCATAATAGTGAGGAGATAAAAAATGCTCTTATTACCAATGGCAATAGTAAAACTACTGATCCTGATGGTTATACTACTGTGTTTTATAAGAACTGTTGGGATGTGGTGAAAAAAAAAGGTTTTTCTTGTTCTGCAAGATGTTTTCCAGGGTATTGATCTACCTAAATTTCTTAAATCCCTTATTTGGTTATTCTTTCCTTGCTGAAGCAGATGGTATGGGATTAGTGCAATGATATAACTATCATTGATGAATTGGTTGTTGCTAACCTTACTTTGCTCTTAATGCGAGGAGGTTTGAAAATAAATTTCATGGGAATGATAAGGGTTTATTTTATGTGCATTTGAGGGAAATGTATGCTTCAAGCTTTTAGTGAAATTCCTGTTGTTGGCCTTTGGCTCACTTTGTGGGACTCCTCAAAACAATAAATACGGAATTGTATGTGCAAGTAGTGTTGAGAATTGGACCTTATTTATGGTCTAATTGGTACAAAATGAATTTTGCAGAAGTCTAGGGGTATAAATTCGGAAGTGTAATGCCTGTTTTTCTTCATAAAATTTATTTATTTAGTTTTTGAAATTCAGAACTGGAGCACTTATAAAACCTCTTTATTTAGTGTTTTTCTGTTTCAAATGCTGCATGGTACTTTATGAATTCTGCACTTCTAAATTTGATTATATTTGAACTGTATTATTTGTATTAATTCAATCAATATAATTAAAATCCAATGAAGTCAGCATGTACACCTTTAAATAAGTGTTCCAACATACAACAATCCATTACCCGTCACTTCTATCCCCAACCAAACCTCAAGTGTGCTAGGTAGAAAGTTGTAAAAGCAGGCATGTCTCTCCCTTTGAATGGCCGTGTGGCCATCGTGACCGGCGCCACCCGCGGCATCGACCGCGTCACCGCCCTCCACTTGTCTTATCTTCCAGCTCCGTCGAAGCTGATCGCCTCTCTGCAGAAATGAATTCTTCTTCCTCGGCCTCCATCCTCCGCACCATCCCTATTCGTGGTGATGTCTCTGATCCTGTCGCTGTCCGCTCAGTCTTCGATCTCACCGAATAAACCTTCAAATCCCCCCTCATACATCGTCGTGCACTCCGCTGGCTTCCTCGATCCCAACTACCACTCATACTGGCAAATAAAAGGGGCAGCCAAGAAATTACATGATATTTTTTTAAATACATTGTTGATGTTGCTTGAATTCTGCACGAGATAAAGCTTCTTAGGCTTCTTAGACATCCTGATGTTGTAGAGATAAAGCACATCATACATACCAAGAAATTACACTTTTTTTTTTAAAATACATCGCTGATGTTGCTCATCGCTGAATTTTGCACGAGATAAATCTTCTTAGACATCCTGATGCTGTGGAGATAAAGCACATCATGCATACCAAGAAATTACTTTATTTTTCTTAAATACATCGCTGATGTTGCTTATGTATGTATATATATATATCACTCATAACACCAGAGGTTTGACATTCACCTTTATAACACCTTCACGGCATGAAATTATACACGAAAAATTTAAACAAGTGATTATGGTGGTTGCGATGCGTTGTTAAGACTTACATATACACCACTCAATCTTTATGAATTTACATGGTCAACACCTAAACTTCATTTTTTATGTTCATGCCGCAACCCTATCTATATGTGAGAAGTTGTATTTCACCTTTTAATATAAACAATGCATTCTTTAGGTGATAGGAAAGATTTGAGTGCTATTTATGTAAATGTGGAAGTTCAGTTGTGGAGCAAATGAAGCAGCATATAAGGATTAGTCATTTAATTTGTTGGTTTATTAACCTAGAAAGTAGCACATGAGCTATTATGGTGCAGAGAATGAACTAAATTTCATTAGTGTGATTTCTATGAAGTGTATTGGTTTATCATTTCATAACCATCTTCAACGGGTGCATTTACATACATTATACATACCACCAAATTCAAATGTCTTTGCATTTCTAAAACTTAAACTTCACTCATTTATACCCCCCAAATTCATCATTACTTTATAATACTGATATGAAATGATGCATATATTGAAGTAAAAGTTTGTGACATTCTCTGCTGTTGAAATTAGGGTATATTCGTTCTGTTCTTATTGTTTCAAAACTTGCTTCTAAAATGCTCATGGAGTATGATTGTTTTATCTATGAAAGTTTGGAAAGTTATGCTTTAAACGTCCGTGAAAAGTTAAAATGATTATTACTCATATAACGAGGTTATGAATTCTGAAATGTTTCTATATCTGAGTTTATGAGTCAGAGATATTTGCATATATAATATTTGGGAAGAGGCGCATGCCACAGATTTTTCTTCATTAATTACATATATGAACCTATAACACTTAAACTTCAGTTGCAAATGTGCAGAAATTTTTAGGATTTTGATGTATTTGCATAAGGCATAAAATGGATAAGTACCTGTTATTTTGAAGCATGCCTAAGTGTATAAATGTTTGGGAAAGCTCTTGTATGATTCGCATAGCATCTTCTTTCTGGTGCCTTATATTTTTTTTTCTTTTTATACTATCTGTTTTGTTTTTCAAATGGAAAGCAAGGAATGATGTATTTACATGCGTACCACATAATTCCTATGTCTCTACATGACCTACGCCCACACTTGAAATTACATACAGGCCACCAAATTCTGATGTAGTTACGTTCTTAATTCTTAAATTTTGTTGAATTCTGAGATATGCATGTGGGGTGGGTGAGGAAGTTATGATGGAGGAGAAAGAATATGTTCAATACGTTTTAATGCTTCAGTTCGTTGATTGGTTGTAGTTTTGATGCACAAGATCTAATATCCTTGCTAGTTGCTAATGCTCCTTTTTTATCATTTCATGCATAGGTTTATAACACCCTGGTGTTATAAATGTTAATATCAAGCTTTAGACGTTAGATATGTAAATCCATAAAATTGTGTGATGTGTATGTTAATTTCCCAATAATTTATGATGCAGCTGGTTTGGCATAGCAAGATCCACAACCTGCAGGCTATTTTTTTAAAGATATATGCACTTTAATTATAAATGACAAACCAACTCAAAGTGCGGCTGCGGTATCTGCACTCTTTTCTCCTCTCTTTTACATATCAAATCAAGTTTGTTAAAGAGCTTAGCTTCAGATCTAAACGTTATCTTAAAAGTTGATCACTTATGATTGATCTTGAGCTTACGTTTCGAAGAGACCAATCTTCAAGTTAATAGTTTGGAAGATTTCCATACATATCACTCTATCCCGTATGTATTCACATATCTTCAAGTTCACCCTTTAATTTTTACATGCATGCCCTCCTAACTATGCATGAATATACGTATTTCACTTTTGTAGGTAAAAATAATGATGCTTTTTACGTGACATAGATGGTATAAATATTGAAAGTTAAGTTCAAGTATTAATTGTAAAAACATAGGAGTTATGTGGTTTGTGTATTTTTTTTACAGAAGGTACACCGCCGCACAAAAGAATAGATTGGGT